TCCTACACAAGAAATCTAATTGGTGCCAAGTCTCAGCAGCAGCCACAAATTCGGTTGTTCTGTCAGGGGCTAGATGTTCTAGTTTCAAAATATGGGTCAAATTGAGAGTAGTCAAATAAAATAACATCTTTTGTTGCCACCTTTTGAAATTAGTTCTATTAAACTTTTCAGATTTCTCTTGAAGCAGGGATCACCATAGGTAGAGCATGAGCCACACATTTTCCCTTATCGTTAATGTCATCATCTTTAGTAATACCACTCATTTTCCTTCACATATATGAAAATTCCACAATTTAATAAAAAGCAAATAACAACTTTTTGAGAAATCTAACTAATAAATACAACAATTGTCACTAAGCAAAAACAATATTGATTTCGTCTTAAGATTGTTAGTAAACATGTAGTGATAATTGCTATATTTATAAAACTTTGAAAACAAAATACAAAATAAATTTGAAATTGTACAAAGAAAATGACAACATAAAAGTAAGATAAACTTTATGAATGATCGAGTTCAGAACGGGGTTCTATCTCGTTAAGACAAAACTGCCTCTTCACAGGTGCTCAAGGATTTGCTTGACAAATATCTCCCAAGATATAACGATCGACTTTTTGTAGAAGTAACACTTCAATCTCCAAAAAAACTGAACTCAAAATTATGTTTGAACTCTTTCTTGAAAAATCCTAAAACTATTGTATGAAGGCTATATATAACTAGAAATCTGAATGAATTGAATGAATGAACAATAATGCTATTCTTAGGTGGTGTCCACGTCATTTCAATTAATCAGAACTTTTATTCAATTAAAATCAGTTTAAAAAACCAATAATTAAAAAAATAAAATAAAAGAAAATAAATAAAAGAACTGCTTAAATTATGACTTGAGTTTACGAGGAGTTTAGTTCCACGATCCCTATGGGTATTACGAGGAGTCTGCTTTCAATTCTTCACCACCACAATCTAAATCAACTTGGTTTTTTAAATGATGGAAAATTTCATGTGTAATTTTTTCAGCTGCTTGCACCTCTGTAATTCAACACCAAAACTTTCGGAATTGATCCAAAAGATGTAACTTACTACAATCTCTAATATAACAAAATTCCACTTTGTTTCAAATTTTATATTACAACAGACCCAATTGTTTCTTTGAATCTCGGGAAAATTTTGACCGAATGTAAGCATGGGTACTCAGATTTTAGAACTTGGGTAGTGATTACAGAAGCTAATTAAAGTAAAGTTATAGTCTTTAAAGTGAAAGATTTATGATTTTTTTGCACAAAACAATTTCAGTAGATGCAGTGCAACTAACAAAATTCTCGCACAATGCAATCGAGGACGTAGAAATTAAATCGAAATAGCTTAATTATTTCTAGCTAAACAACACTAAGCAATTAAATGAACAAAAAATATGAGAGAGAGAGAGAGACAGAGAGGTACTGATGGAGTTTCTCAGGGGTTCTCAGGCGGATCACAAATTGGAATGGGGAGGACGAGAGGGTCAAAGAGGAGGAGCACAACCCAGATAGCCCATCGGTTGGAGCTCCAAGGAGTCTGCTCCTTCCTTCCCCGTCTCTTTCACGACTGCCTTCTCCTTCTCTTTGATTGTTTTTTAAATCAGTCATTTAATTGTTAGTTTTTTGAATTGATTTTAATTGAATAAACTGATTAATTTAAATGATTTGGATGTCTACATTAGATGGCATTTAAGATGGTATGGTACAATTACAAGGTAAAAATAGCATTACTCATTCATAAATAATATTGCCATTAATACAAAAATGCATGTTAAATGCCCTTATAACGGTGTTTAATTGTTAAAAAAAGAAAATTATGACAAATTTCTTTTGTAATTTTCAAGTTGTTAAAAATAATAGGTAGACGGGTAAAAAAAAGAGTAAACGGGTTAAAAACGGATAAACGGGTACGTGGTTATGATTAAACGGGTATACGGTTACAAGTATGTTTTACCATTTGGAAACGGTTATAAGTATGAGTATACATATTTATGCAAATACTCAATGGCTAAACGGTTATGGGGTAAGAGCTTAAACGGTTATGAGTAAATAGCTATGGTTACCTGCCCACCATAACTGTTGCCCATCCCTAATTATGAGATTGTTATATAATGATATGTTATTACATTATTGGACCGCATACACAATGAGTATAATCAATACTCATAAGTAAGTACCCAAATATTATACTTTCAAAAATGCAACCTTTGCAGTTTGCAGTACCAAAACCAAATTGGAAAGCATCTTGGCTGCTAGAAAAAATCATTTGAATATATTATATTTGAAAAGATGCATTGGACACACATGTAAAAAGCATGGTATCTGTTCAACGTGAAAGGTTGAAACTGTCTAAAGTGAAAAGAAGCAATGGTTGGTTTTGAAAAGACAACATTATTGGGGGAAAGGAATCTTCTCCGGATCCCTTCCTTCTAATTCATCAAGTTTGAGAATTTAAATTATTGAAATTTAATTAAACTGCTAAAATTATTATAACTTTTAAAGTGAGTTGTCGAATTAAATTTTAATGGTTCGGATTTTCGAATTTAATGGATTAAAAGAAAGGGATCCGGAGAGGATTCCTTTCCCATATCAGGTGTGCCTTTTCTGATTAGAGGTATTAATGCCTATAAATAAAGAATCCTCTGCCATATTCATTCATTCAATTCACACAGATTTCTAGTTCTATATAGCATTCATACAATAGTTTTAGTGTTTTTCAAGGAAGAGTTCAAACACAATTTTGAGTTCATTTTTTTCGGATATTGAAGTGCTACTTCCACAAGAAGTTGATCGTTATATCCTGGGAGATGTTTGTCAAGCAAATCCTTGAGCACATGTGAAGAGGCTGTTTTGTCTTAAGGAGATAAAACCCCGTTCTAAACTTGATCATCTGTAAAGTTTATCTTACTTTTATGTTGTCATTTTCTTTATACAATTTCAAATTTATTTTGTATTTTGTTTTCAAAGTTTTATAAATATAGCAATTATCACCACATGTTTACTAACAATCTTAAGACGAAATCAATATTGTTTTTACTTAGTGATAATTGTTGTATTTATTAGTTAGATTTCTTAAAAAGTTGTTATTTACTTTTTATTAAATTGTGGAATTTCCATATATGTGAAGGAAAATGAGTGGTATTACTAAAGATGATGTGTGACATCTCACATCGTCCAGGGAAGTGGATTCTATAAGCCTTATATATATATATATTCTCATCTCTACCTAGCACGAGATCTTTTGGGAGCTCACTGGCTTTGGAGTTCATCGGAACTTCGAAGTTAAGCTAGTTCGTGCGAGAGCAATGCCATGATGGGTGACCCATTGGGAAGTTCTTGCATAAGTTCCCAAAAACAAAACCGTGAGGGCGTGGTCGAAGCCCAAAACGGACAATATCGTGCTACTGTGGAGTTGAGCCCAGGATGCGGTGGGGGCCCAGGCTAGGATGTGACAATTTGATATCAGAGCCTATCCCTGGTCAAAAGTGTGCCGACAAGGACATCGGGCCCCTAAGGGGGGTAGATTGTGACATCTCACATTGCCTAGGGGAGTGGATCCTGTAAGCCTTATATGTATATTCCCATCTCTACCTAGCACGAGGCCTTTTGGGAGCTCACTGGCTTCAGAGTTCATCGGACCTCCAAAATTAAGTGAGTTCTTGCGAGAGCAATCCTATGATGGGTGACCCACTGGGAATTTCTCGCGTGAATTCCTAGAAACAAAACTGTGAGAGCATGGTCGGAGCCCAAAGCGAACAATATCGTGCTACGGTGGAGTCGAACTCGGGATGTGATGGGGGCCCGGACCTGGATGTGACATGATGGCATTAGTAACGATAAGAGAAAATGTGTGGCTCATGCTCTACCTATGGTGATCCTTGCTTCGAGAGAGATCTAAAAAGTTTAATATAACTGATTTCAAGAGGTGGTAACAAAAGATGTTATTTAATTTGACCACTCTCAATTTGGCCCATATTCTAAAACCAGAACATCTAGCCCCTGACAGGACAACTAAATTCGTGGTTGCTGCTAAGACTTGGCACCAATTAGATTTCTTGTGTAGGAATTATATTCGCAATGGCTTAAGTGATGCATTATACAATGTGGATAGCTCATTTAAGACTGCTAGGGTTCTGTGGGAGTCATTAGACAATAAATATCACGCTGAAGATGCTGGATGAAGAAATTTATTACCGGTCGTTTTCTTGACTACATTATGGTGGACTTCAAAACAGTCATCAGTTAAGTCCAAGAACTCCAACTTATTTTGCATGAAATTCATGCAAAAAAGATGTAGTTGAGTGAATCATCCCAAGTGGTTGCTACAATTGAAAAATTACCACATTCTTGGAAAGATTTCAAGACTTATCTCAAGCACAAGTGCAAAGAGATGAGACTTGAGGATTTGATTGTCAGGCTAAGAATCGAGGAAGACAACCGTGATTCTGAAGAAAAAAAAAAAAAAAAACAGTGGAAACTCCATAGGTCAAGAAACAAGAAAAAAAGGAAGCATAAAGCCAAGGGAATTCAAAGAAAAATAGTGAATTCAAAGGCAAGTGCTTTAGTTGCAAAAAACCTAGTAACAAATTGTTAAAAACATAAAAACCAGGGAAGTTTCAACAAAAACAATAGGAAAACCACCTTTTGGAAAACTATTGGTTGGAGCTTCCGTAAAACAATTACTTGTCAAACAAGTAAATATTAAATCGAAGAGAATCATAAAAATTACTACTTCTCTGTCATTGTAAATTATTTATTCCCAAGAGAATTTAGCATAAATAATCGAGTAAAGAAAGGGTCCATACAAAGATTTATTTATAGCACAAACTCAATTCCCTGAATAGAAACCGCAAAATGGAGGAAAAAGAATTATAAGCTTGTAAATAGCGCGCATGGAAGAATATAACAGCTTAATTGGCCTGATGAATATGTGTTCCGTTTGTCTATTCAATCCTAGTCCAGTCTGATCCACACTGTACTAGTTATCACATCTTGTCCAGATCAATGTTTCGGAAGTCCAATGTTGAATGAGATCTGCGGAACTGAGACAGTGCACTGCCTTCAGTATGGTTGATGATATCTTTTATCGAGGCCTGCAAGAGCGCGAAGTTGTTGATGTTCTTAAGAATATCGGGATTGATGTTCTTCAAAGCATTAGGATGACCCTCGGTGGTTGGGAACCGTTTTTGGTGAGACCGAATTATTGGAGAAAGAGATGCATGCAAGTTGTCATATATGCTGTTTCTTCTTCCGCTTGTGTTGAAAGTATAGGAGGAAGTGCTGCTGCTTGCACTGTTGCCTGTCTCTTGGTCTTGGTCTTGGCTATGCATGCTTCCCGTTTCGCTATGGATGCTTCCCATATCCTGGCTGTGCAAACTTCCCATTACTTGCCGGTACATGTTTGGTTCCGCCTTCTTTTCCAGCTGCGAAAACTAAACAAGTACAAAAACCATATATGTACATCGATCGTCATGAGCTATGCGTATATGTATATCAATCGCATGCATATGCAGTACAATATTACAACTCCATTTATAAATAAGAGGCGATAGTAATTCAATACTTACACTAGCTAGTCAGGAGAAGAATACAGATCGGAAAATTCTCTAATTTTACAGGTTTCTGCAAAGAATTTCGTAAGGATAATGATAGTTTCATTTATTATGTAAGGTGATGGTATTCACTTACCCTTTTTTTCCGTACGCACACCATGTTTAAGTCTAACATTTGGATCGATCAAAGTAATGTACACATTTCATTTCCCTTCTAAAAACTACTAAATTAGGGAGACACCGCCACGAAACTTGTGAAACACATAACAGCTTAACTGAATTACCCAATTAAGTGGAACTAAGAAAAGGATTAATTTAATGGATAATTCAAATAAAAATCATGATTTAAGATCAGAGATTTATGAAGGTGCAGAATTTACTTCATTGGAAGATTCAAATCCTCCTCTGACCTCTTGAACCTTTCTCTGAACCAGTCCGCGATTTGTTTGAGACAGTTGCTTTGGTTTGGAAGTCCTCCTGGTACATAATTAAGATGGAAAAGCACACGAATTAGCAATTGTGTTTTGGTAGCATTTAAATAAAAGCCCTCGCTAGACTTCAAAATTTCTTTAAGATTTTTACAAGATTCATGACAGTCGTTGTGAGGGTTCCGTTTCTGCAACTCTTCATTACAGAAAACCATTTTGCTATGAACAAAATGCACCATGTCTAATATCAATCGAACATCGGAATATGCCTTCTTAACCACCCAAAAAACAGAAACAGCAAATCTAGCATGTAATGAAAGATGGAAAAATGCAATTGATACGCTAATGAATTTGTAAAATTATTCACGAGAAGGATGTATTGATCAAATGTTAATATTATGTAAAGCAAAATTTGATCATCCCGATATCATCAGCTTGAAGGGGTACATCATCCCAATTTGCGTTATGTAAAGTAAGATTTGATCAAATGTTAAAAACTTCATAAAAACAAATTATAAATTATAATTTGGGTCATCTTGCCTTCTTTCAGTCTATTGTTATGCCTAAATTAATCAAAATAGTGAACGAAAGTAAATTGCAATGTATAATTGAAATTTGAAATTGCATACTTCTTCGGATCCTTGGTGTGAGTGCGTTCGTCCTTATCTTTATACATTACTGGTAGAGCTGAAAGGTCACATGCCAACGGACTCGAACTAAAAAACTGAAACCAGAAAGAATTTACAATTTGTAAATACATGTTGAGCTGATACTAAAAGGGAAGCTAGGGACCAAATTTCAGATGCAGATTGCAGTTGGTGAGCCAAATGAAAGGGAAGCTAGGGACCAAAAAGAAGTAACGGAAAATATTGATTACACGAAGAAAGAGCTTCGGATTGTACTCACTTGACTTCGGAGAGCAGAAGCAGCACTGCCACGAGATGCCGGGTCCAGAGCAAGAAGTGTTGTTGAGAGATCAAATGATGAACTTGAGAAGTCCCTGAAGAATTCTTCATAACTAGGTTTGTAATGTTGTGGTGGTCGGAAGCTTGTTGGTAACTTCATTTTCTTCCAGTAATCCTCTCCGGGTAAACCACAAAGCTTGAAGATCTTATGAAGTTGCTCAACCTGAATACACAAATTAATGTCTCTGCCTATGTAAGTTCTCAAAAATGATGGTGGGATCATCGATGATTCCTTGTGTGAATATAATTGAGGTTTCTGGTGTTGAAAACGAAGTTTAGGATAAAATCATTTTACCTCGGTCCTCCCAGGCATAACTGGCCTCCCAACAAACATCTCTGCCAACAGGCATCCTGCACTCCAAAGATCAATACCAACTCCATAATCTGTAGAACCTAACAAGAGCTCTGGCGCTCTGTACCACAGTGTCACAACTCGGCTTGTAAGAGGACGTTTCTTCGGAGGGAAAAAATTTGCAAGCCCAAAATCTGCAATTTTCAACATCCCATTTCTGTCTATTAGCAAGTTGGAAGCTTTAATGTCTCGGTGTAAAATCCCGTTTTCATGGCAGTGCTGGAGACCAGCAAGAAGCTGCTGCATATAGCACTTGACCTGTATGAAAGAGAAAAAGGAATAAAAAAACTACCTAAATCTGTCCGTCTGATCATTTATTACTATGAATTCCACACCATTTCCGTTACACTCTTAGTTCATCTGTACTTATGCGCACGTATACGCCCAAAAGCTACAGAACATATATAGATAAAACAAATTTTTAGGCGTAGGGATAGATGACGAGGAAAAATGCCAACCTGGGGTTCAGTGAGCCTCTTTCCAGGACGTGAGATTACTCTAGTCAAGTCGGACTGCATGAAATCAAAGACGAGATATAGACTATACTGCATTCTTGATGTAGCTACCCCTTCAAGCTTGATGATATTGGGATGATCTAGCTTCTGTAGCATCGTTATCTCCCTCGCCATAAACTTGACACTCTCTGGCTCTGATGTGTCAAACCGGACTTTTTTCAAAGCAACAATCTTTTTGGTGTCCCTGTCACGAGCTTTGTACACATTGCTGTAGGTTCCCTGCCCTACCTACAACAAAACAAAAAAAATATCAAAACCCAAATTCAGGTTGCTTGTCCACCAAGAAATCCCAACATCCTTATTCAAACAAATTAGTAAGTGGAGTCTGTCTAGAGGAGTGATATTACCTTAGCAAGTTTATCATAGGAGTCAGCAGTCTTTGGAACGAAACCAGCCAAGACATCTTGAGGCACATTCTCAACCAGCCACTTTGGCCAGCCATCCACAATATCATCATCATCTCCTCCAATCTTCTCCAACGTCATCCTTCCCGAAACATTCCCACCGTTCTTACCTCTCTCTTTCTCTCTAACAACTAAACCTTCTCCTCCTCCTCCTCCAGCTCCACCGGTTCTACCACCATCAGCAATCTTATCCTCCCCATTGGACACCGGCTTAATCTCCTTCCTCGATTGTTTTTGGGTAACGGGTCTTCCTCCAGTCCTCCCCTTGACATAGCCGTTGTCGCGTTTCAACTTGTCAAGGACTTGAAGGTCATGACTTGGGGAGTTAGTTTTCGTCTGAATACAACCCATTAAGTCTCTGACCGACTTTGGAGTGGACGATATCACCTAGGCGGTGGCAGCAATGGTGGTGTTGGTGAGCAATGACAGCATAGTAAATCCAGTGATTCCAATTAATGAAGATGGTTGGTAATTGGTACAAATTTTTCAGAAAATGCGAAATGGAAACAAGAGTGAGTGACACTGGCGTTTCTTGGCCGGCATTGCCTCGGAATTATACCAACCATTACATTGTCTTTGTAGTTGGCTCCTCTTTCTCCGCCATCGTAGAAATCAACATTCAAATATATATATATTGTTGTAGGTCTATTTAATTGAATTAATCTAAGGGATTAGAGAGAGAGGGGCCCGGTGGTAGCAAGAGGGAAGAGAGAGATTTAATTGTAAGGTGTGTGTTGTATCACCCCCATTGTGCCTTTATTTATAGTAGTGGGATAAGTAAAAACCTTATCCATTTAGGATTACAACTCTTAATAGGTAATCAACTCCTAATAAGAATATAAGATATATCCCTATATCTACTAGGATTTACACAATCACATTCCTATTCTAAATATGACTGCAACACTCCCCCTTGAGAGTGTAAATACTCAACAAATCATCGCATCAGATCTTCAACAGATAAGGTAGAATAGTTGATGAAACCATCGACACAACGGGTGAACGTGAGTCTCAAATTTAAAGAAAGTATGCAGTGGTAGTAAAACTCACAAAACCTCGCTATGGTAAAACCCAAGGCATGGGGAAAAACCCATAGACTAAGGAGAAAAGTGAGAAGTATGCATAATGTCTAAAACAAACGTCAAACAAGACGAAAATAGTGAACTCAATCAAGTATGATCATCCCAGGATGGGTGCCTCATCAAAACCCCGTTAGGTAGCAAAAACCCAGTGAAAAAAATGCTCCTAATCGTAGGAAAAATAGTACATTAAGATCAAGTGAGTATGCTTCAGGATACTCCCCCTAAGTTAGACATAACTTCCAAATAAGAGAACTTCAAGCAATTCAACTCAAACAATTACGAATACCAATTCCTTGAACGAGCTTCTGGAAAGTAGACTTGGGTAATGACTTGGTGAAGAGATCGGCCAAGTTGTCTTGGGAATGGATTTGTTTGACTTCAATGTTTTGATGTTGTTGTTGTTAGTGAGAATAAAAGAACTTCGGCGCTACGTGCTTGGTGTTGTCTCCCTTGATGTATCCCTTCTTTAACTGCTCGATACATGTTACATTGTCTTCAAAGATTGTTGTAGGAAGGTCAACAACGGATGTAAGACCACTAGTACTTCGAACATGTTCCATGACTGCTCTCAACCAAAAGCACTCACGCGATGCTTCATGGAGAGCGAGAATCTCAGCATGTTTTGAAGAAGTTGCAACTAGCATTTGCTTAGTAGACCTCCAAGATATAGCGGTGTCTTCAACAGTAAAGATATAGCCTGTTTGAGAACTTGCCTTATGTGGGTTAGACAGATAACCAACATCTGCTTAACCAACGAGGCGAGAATCAACTAGAGGATTGAGGGGGGCGGCGGCTTTTCTCGATGATTCATGGGTGTAGAACAAGCCCAAATATGTCATACCTTTAAGGTAGTGGAAAATGTCTTTAACACCATTCCAGTGTCTGCATGTAGGTGCATTGTTGTATCTAGCCAAAAGATTAACAGTGAATGAGATGTCGGGTCTAGTGCATTAAGCCAAGTACAATAAAGCACCAATTGCACTAGGTACGGAACTTCAGGCTCCAAAATCTCTTCCTTATCCTTATTTGGACGGAAGGGATCTCGTTTAGCATCTAGAGTCCGAAAGACCATATGAATACTCGAAGGCTTCACTTTATCCTCATTAAAACGTCGTAGCACCTTTTGGGTGTTGTTCGATTGATGTACTAGGATTCCATCCAAACAATGCTTGATCTCCAGACCGAGACAATATTGAGTTTTCCCAAGATCTTTCATCTCAAATTTTGATTTTAAGTGAACGACAATTTCCTCAAGCTTTGTGGGAGTTTCGATGAGGTTCATGTCGTCGACATAAACTACAACGATTGCAAATCCGAAGTGTGACTTCTTTATGAACATGCATGGGCATAATTCATTGTTCACATAACCTTGATTTGTCAAATATTCACTTAAATGGATATACCACATCCGCCCGGATTGTTTCAATCCATAGAGTGATCTCCTCAACCTAATCGAGAGAGTGTTTCATGGTCTATAACTATTTGAACCAATCAATGGAAGTCCTTCTGGAACTTTCATGTAAATTTCCATATATAGATCCCCATAGAGATACACGGTTACCACGTCCATAAGCTGCATATTCAGTTTTTTGGAAACTACCAAACCGATAAGGTAACGGAACGTTATGATGTCCATTATGGGGGAATACGTCTCCTCGTAATCAATCCCAGGGCATTGAGAGAAGCCTTGCACTACGAGGCGTGCTTTGTATCGCACTATTTCATTCTTCTCATTACGCTTCCTTATGAAAACCCACTTGTAGCCTATAGGTTTCTCATTGCGCTACAGGCCCAAAAACCTTACGTTTCATGAGTGAATAGAGTTCGACCTGGATTGCTTGTTTCTAGTTTGACCAATCCGTTCTACGTCGACATTCATTAATGGAACATGGTTCAATGTCATCGCTAAGCATGATGTCGAATGTCGAAATCAACGGTATACGCAAATGCATTGATAGGAGCATATTTATACGACTTTGTTAGCCTATTTCCTTGCACCTACTCAGTTAGTTTCTATTTATTAGAGTGTTTTAAGCCATTTTCATGTGTTTGCAGGTCCAAACGGCAAAGTTGGCAAGAAAAGGCAATTTGGAGTATTTTAGAGTAGTTTTGGGCTTGGATTAGTTAACATGTGTGTGGAGCATAATGGATGGACGTTTTTGGTGTTTATGTACTATGTGCTAAAATCTAGAGGAATCAAATTTGGAGGCTTGGAAGACAAGGAATTAGCTAAAAAGAATGAACCTTATCCAAACTTACCTTATCTTATTCAGTCCTGTTTTATCTCAACCTTACCTTATCTTATCTTATCCTATCCTAATCCTACCTTACCTTATCTCCAGCTGCAAGGGGGATTCCTTATCATATTAAATCACCTCTTATTTGATTTAAGGAGTCCTAAAACTATGCAAACAACTAATCCTTTTCCTCCACAAACAATGTCGTGCCCTACCTATATATATTCAATCCTTGCCGCAAGTTTGGGGGGGAAGCTTTAGAGAGAAAATTAGAAAAAGACACTTTGGGCCGCAGCTTTGCAAGGAAGGAAGAGAAGAAGAGCTTGTGCCGTGCCTGCCATCCAAGGCCATTGGAGTGCTGTAGCATTTCTAGGTGTGTTATATTCTTAGTTTTAGTCCAATGGTTGTTTTAATTTGGTTTTCAATTATGATGAACATGTGGAACTAATTTCTTTTTAGCTAGAGGTGAATTCGAAGTCATGGACATATGCTTTATATGAATTAATTACATCCAGTTATTGTTTCATAAAACATGAATGCGATTTACTTATCTGTTTGATTGATAACTTATTCTTGTATGTTGATTAAGGAGGCCTACGTAGTTTAAATGCATGAATCTGATGTTAGAATATAAGAGAATTTCACCTAATCGTTATGAACTTATATTTACAAGTAATAATGGTCACTAGTCATGATTATGTTAATTAAATTCCTGGCAGGAGTATCATGCAGTTCATAGTTACGAATGCCTTGTCAATGCTTATGACTTTTCACAGAACTTAATGATCTTTGATATGTATCTCTATCATGCAGTTCATATAGGGAACTTAATAAGAATACTTTGATTGCGTCGCTGAGTCCAATTCAATGAAATTAGGAAAATCTGAGAGTTAATTAGTGATGTTCACAATTAATTTGGGGCATTGTCATTCATGCTTTATTGGAATAATAACTGAAAATTGATTTGTATGCATATGTATCATGTGTGGAGAAAGACCCTCTAGTTACCCCTTTAGTCACCTTAATTTTGTGCAACCTTTAGTTGTTTCTACAACTTATTAGTTTTAAGTTAATTTTCATCCAAACAAACCCCCCTTTCATGTTTTGAGTCAATTTAGTTAGATTTTCGTCCAAATCATCCCTTAGTGCTTGTTCTGAGTTATTTGAGTCAGTTTAGTTTGTTTTGAGTCAGTTTCAGTTTAGTTTTTTGTTTTTGAGTCTGGTTTAGTGATTTAGAGTTTAATTTATGTAGATTAGCATCCCTCCTAATCCTAGGCCTAGAACGATCCCTACTTTCACATACTACAACTATCAAAAAGAGGGTTTTAAGTTGTGTGTTAAAAAAATATCACATCAGCATCATCGACAATCATCTCATTCCGATTCCAAACCTCATCCAATACTGTGTAATGGACCAAAATCTCACTATTCTCGGAAGGTCGGTATGTCTCTTTTAAGACATCACCGTAATCTAGAATAACCTCATTCGTTGGAACAAATGAGTAAGCAATGGTTGGATTCAGACTAAGCTCACTAGTTTATGCCATTTTCCTTTTCTGGGGTTGTGAATCCTTTGTACCAAGGGGCTTGCCACGCTTTAGGGTAGTAGCAGGTGATTGGCTAGTGTACCCAGCTGCATGGGAGGTACGGCCGCCCCACCCTCAGGGACGATCCGGCCTTCCAAGGCGGTGTTACAATGTACGTTAAGTATGTCCATCCTTACAGGTGCGTTTGCAGCAAGTATATGTGATCTCGTCACCTTTGCTAGATCAGTAAAAACATCTGTCATGCTTGAGCGATGCTCAGAATATCGATTACTATTTTCTACAAAATATTTTGTTTCTGCAAAATATTGATTACTATTTGTGAAAAAAAATCATCAACAACTATTTTTGTAGAAAATGTGAACAATTGTGATACTGTTGTAAGCCTATTTGACTGAACTGTATTTAGAACTAAGAGGGATAAAGGTCGGCGGCAACAGAGAAAGAAGAGTGAGATGTATTACCCCTATTGTGCCTTTATTTATAGT